GAGGGAGAGGGAAGGGAGGGAGGGAGGGAATTAGGGATTAAGGAGGGAGAGGGAAGGGAGGGAGGGAGGGAATTAGGGATTAAGGAGGGAGAGGGAAGGGAGGGAGGGAGGGAGGGAGGGAGGGAATTAGGGATTAAGGAGGGAGAGGGAAGGGAGGGAGGGAGGGAATTAGGGATTAAGGAGGGAGAGGGAAGGGAGGGAGGGAGGGAATTAGGGATTAAGGAGGGAGAGGGAAGGGAGGGAGGGAGGGAATTAGGGATTAAGGAGGGAGAGGGAAGGGAGGGAGGGAGGGAATTAGGGATTAAGGAGGGAGAGGGAAGGGAGGGAGGGAGGGAATTAGGGATTAAGGAGGGAGAGGGAAGGGAGGGAGGGAGGGAATTAGGGATTAAGGAGGGAGAGGGAAGGGAGGGAGGGAGGGAGGGAATTAGGGATTAAGGAGGGAGAGGGAAGGGAGGGAGGGAGGGAATTAGGGATTAAGGAGGGAGAGGGAAGGGAGGGAGGGAGGGAGGGAATTAGGGATTAAGGAGGGAGAGGGAAGGGAGGGAGGGAGGGAATTAGGGATTAAGGAGGGAGAGGGAAGGGAGGGAGGGAGGGAGGGAGGGAGGGAATTAGGGATTAAGGAGGGAGAGGGAAGGGAGGGAGGGAGGGAATTAGGGATTAAGGAGGGAGAGGGAAGGGAGGGAGGGAGGGAGGGAGGGAGGGAATTAGGGATTAAGGAGGGAGAGGGAAGGGAGGGAGGGAGGGAGGGAGGGAGGGAGGGAGGGAGGGAGGGAGGGAGGGAGGGAGGGAGGGAGGGAGGGAGGGAGGGAGGGAGGGAGGGAGGGAGGGAGGGAGGGAGGGAGGGAGGGAGGGAGGGAGGGAATTAGGGATTAAGCTATGACGACGCATTTACCATTATCACTATCAGTCGCAATATAGTATAACCATCATTATTACGGTCGTTATAGCTATATTAAAACACGTCCGTTAAATGCAATTTATAATATTAGATATATTAAACATGATTGTTCCGTGTACCTTACGACACTGAAGATGTATTAAAACATGTTAGACGCACTTTACAACACTGAAGATATATTTCCACTATTTTCCTTGCATTTATTTCACAACAATAAGCTCCCTGATAACTAGTTCAGGCCCCAGTTACACTTGGGCTAAATATCAACTAACGTCTGGTAACTTCTTGTGTCGTCTGTCTCTTTAAATAGACGATGACCTTTTTGTTAGTATTTCTCGAGCAGGTTCTGCCGAGTAAAAATTTGCATCTGACCTTTTGGTAAATAATGTCCCTTTACCGTGTTTTTTTCCCGTGAATTCTGCTGTAATTCCTTTCATATAATCAATTTATATTGCTCTAATAATAGAAGTTTTACTCATTTTTTCAATAGCGTTCCTATGGCAACCATAACGTCCACGCGCTTCCATAAATAAAAGAATAGCATGAAGTAATTAAACTCCATAAACTTAAATTGCATTGTAAAGTCTGGAAGCTACAAGGCAAATAAAAAGTTTGACATAATTATAAAAAAAGAAACTTCGAGCACTTTATTACACAAAGCAAACAAAGTCAATCAAAAACTTATATATATCTCACAGCGGGAAGTGATATAAGAAGGAGAATCAGAGAGGAAAATGACAAATAAGAGCGACAATGACACACATCCACAACCCGGACAACAGAGCGTGGCCAGAGCACCTGGTTCCTCACCTGTCCGAAGCTGTGCACGAGGACGGCCATGGCCATGCCAGCCACCAGCGAGATGGTGAGCTGGCCCTCCGGCGTGAGCGTCTTGCCTGTCCAGGGGCTGTAGGCGCCGCACACCAGGAACACGTAGAACACGGTGGCCAGGCACTCGGCGATCACGGCCCGCCACAGCTCCAGGGTCCGCACCTCGGCGATCATCGGGGGGCGCGAGGGGGGCGAGGAGTCCTGCCGGAGGCCCTCCAGCTTGTCGAGGAGGGCCACCAGCTGGGCCTCCACGTTGGCCGCCCCTCCGCCGCCGCCGCCCACGCCGCCTCCACCGCCGCCCATCACTGCACTGGCCATCGTCGAGAGATAACGCTACTGATAGTGGCCTTCCCGATTGAGAATGGCTGAATTATCAAAGACTTTCCTTTTTTCCAAGACTGATCACCTGCGATGGGCCTCGAAACTTCCTCTATTCGGTTTTTAACACTCGTTCACCTCGCATTATCTTGGGAGAGCTTCGATTTGGGCGAAGGGACAAAAAGCGCGAGTAGAACTTAATTGCGCGGCGCCCGATCAAGCTGTGCCCACCCACAAGAGCCCTTTGCAGCTCTACCCAAAACTCAGGCCTTTCTTAATACCTTCGCCAGCTGTACAAAATCATCGGCACGACACACCGATCACTCCTCTCGCACTGCCCTCCGATGTTAAAACGAACCACAAGAAAAGAAGTAATGAACAGCGGATCACACAAAGCACCACATGGTAGCGTGAACGAGAAACCAGAGCGTAACGTCTCTTCTCGACGACGGCACAAACTCGACTGGCGCTTCGCTTTGCCCGGAAGGGGTATCTACTGGCAACAATGGCGCTCTTCCTGAATAAGCATTCTTGCTCGTGTTTCCTGTATAATCTAGTACTCAGATTTTGTTACTAGGAAGCGACTTCACTTAGAAACGTACTTTACGCTCATATGAGCTAAATAAATAAAGACGACTTTCCAAATGACCGAAACGCCCAAACAAACTTCGTACGCCCGGCAACGACGCGCTCCCAAAAAGCCCATTTATTTTTGCATCTGTTAGATTTTTTCTCTCTTTTTTTTTCTTTTAACATCAAGTCCGTCTCTATCCTCCTCGTCATCCACGAGTATCGCCTCACCCTCTTCACACCACGGCTCAAGCAACAAATCCCCTCCCCTTCCCCTTCCTACGTACAGATAACCAAAATACCAACTACCCTTGATAAAAGACCCGAAATACAGGAGGAGCGAGTGGCCGGCGCGAGCGTAGGGACTTACTATCATGTAGTGAAGGTTGTGGGGGAACCATTAAAGGCGAACTGTCAGAGCAGGCCGCGATGATGGCGGGAGCTCATACGTATTGCCGATAAAAATGCAACCGAGGAGTTCAACTATGTGATACGGCGCTTTGGTATGCGTGTATGCTTGGTTATATACCCGGATTGCAGTATATGCTTGGGTGGCGTGACGAAATTCGCGCAGGTTGAAGTATGTTATATGTATATTATATGTATTTATGCATTAAACAGCGTGCGCGTATATATATATATATATATATATATATATATATATATATATATATATATATATATATATATATATATATATATATATATATATATATATATATATATACATTACAAAGATAAAACATTTACCCACCTTTGCGCGCGCGTAAGCGTAAGGTGAGCGTAAGCGCATGCGTAAAGCCATAATAAGCTTTATCATGTATAGATCTATATCTACAGACGCACTGTATGTATTCATTTATGTCCCCCTCCCCCCACACACATACACACACACACGCACACACAGATATACACATACCCATATACATTCTCTCTCTCTCTCTCATCTCTCCCTATTTCTCTTTTTCTCGTTTTTCCTCTCTCCCTCTCTCTCTCTCTCTCCTTCTCTCTCTCTCTTCCTTTTCTCCCTCTCTCTCTCTTCCCCCCCTCCTCTCTCTCTCTCTCTCTTCCCCCCTCCTCTCTCTCTCTCTCTCTCTCTGTCTCTCTCTCTCTCTCTCTCTCCTCTCTCTCTCTCTCTCTCTCTCTCTCTCTCTCTCTCTCTCTCTCTCTCTCTCTCTCTCTCTCCTCTCTCTCTCTCTCTCTCTCCTCCTCTCTCTCTCTCTCTCTCTCTCTCCTCTCTCTCTCTCTCTCTCTCTCTCTCTCTCTCTCTCTCTCTCTCTCTCTCTCTCTCTCTCTCTCTCTCTCTCTCTCCCCTTCTCTCTCTCTTCCCCCCTCTCTCTCTCTTCCCCCCCTCTCTCTCTATCTTCCTCCCTCTCTCTTTCTAAGCTGCACTGTCTCACTCAACTGAACATCTTCATTAATATTCATGGGGACACTGTCTGCGCAGGTTAGAAAGTGAAATACACCCTTGACACGGCTAGCTGCTTCATCCGTTAATATATTTTCCAAAAGATCAAATCTCTGAAAAAAAGGAAAATAGAGAAAAAAAAATCAAATGAGTGTGAAAAAGAAAGCAAAAAATTGTATTTGTCTGAAAAGGAAAATTGTGAAAAAATATGCCTGGTAAATAAAGAACATTATTTTTAAAAAATCAAATATGTCTAAACCAAAAATAAAAGAAGAGAGAATGATAAATGTCGTTAAAAATCAAATAACAGGAATTATAAAATTCCGCAAAACATGTTCATATTATAAACAATACAAAAAAGAATTATGGTATTTTCAAACTATATATATATATATATATATATATATATATATATATATATATATATATATATATATATATATATATATATGAACAATATCATTGGCGATAATGATAATAGCGAATATTCAGATTATAAAACAAACAAATGGCGTTTTTAAAATGTGGAAAAACTATTGAAAGGATTCTTTGGTTTAAAATATGACTTGCAGAGGAGCCAACTTTAGCATGATTTGCATAAACGTTTTCTTGCAACCAGTGATGGAATATAAAATATAGGCCTATTCATTGTAAAGTTTGATGAGAGTTTGACCCCTTAAGGTTTATTCAAGGACTAGCTAGGTAGATAGATAGATAGATAGATAACGATAAAGATGCATTTACACGCATGCACACACACACGCACGCACATGCTCACGCGCGGACACATACACACACATGCACACTCACATGCTCGCGTGCGCACACACCTACACCTCCCCCCCCCCCACACCTTTCTTACACACACATGCATAAAAATAAATCGACAGATGGATAGTGAAAAAAAACATATAGGAATAAAAAAAAATCGACTGAAATTCTTTAAAAGATACTGAAAGATCTTAACATTTTCTTTGTGATAAATAGATTAGTAATAGCACTGAGTAGGTTAGTAACTTTACTGATATAGATTATCGGTGTATCATTATTATTCTGAACAGAAGTATGTTTCTTTCTGTTCGTTAATGTCGTTATATTAGTTTCTCTATCTCCTCTTTCCGTCTCCCTTTCTTCCTCAATTTATGTGTTCTGCATCGGTTTCTTTCTTTCTCTCTCTCTCCTGCTCTCTCTCCATTCATCCCTCTACCTATTTATTTATCTATCTATCTATCTATCTATTTATCCATCAATCTATCTATCTATCTATCCATCCATTTATCTATCTATCTATCTATCCATCCATCTATCTATTTACCTATCTATCTATCCATCCATCTATCTATCTATCTATATATCTATCCATCCATCCATTTATCTATCCATTCATCCACCCATCAGTCTATCTATCTATCTCTCTAGCCATCCACCCATCCCTCCATCCTTTCCCTCTCTCTCTCTTCCTACCACGTCCCCCAATTCCCCATTTCTCTCTCTCTCTCTCTCTCTTTCTTTTTTTCCGTTTACAGTCTTCCTTCGATTTTATTTTGTATTTTTCCTCTGCCCTTTTCTTACGAGAACATAAAACGCGTCATAGATTTCTTAAGGAAACAGAAGAAGTGTTTTGTTCCCGTGTTAGGTCTTGGTCTTTCAGTATTTTCTTGTCTCTTTTCTTTTCATTTTTCTTTTGTTTTTTGTTTTTCTTTCTTTTTCTGTAATGGTTTCCTATTATCTCCCTGTTCTTTTCTGTGTCCGTTTTTTTCCTTCTCTTTTCTGTGTCTTTTTTTCTTTCTGTCTTATGTGTCCCTTTTGTTCTCTTTTATGTGTCTTTTTCTTTTTGCTTTTCTTTTTATTTTGTATTCTTTGTTTTTCTTGTTTCGTTTCTTTCTCCTGAGTATTTTCTCGTTTTGTTCCATTTTGTCATTTATATTTTTTCTTCTCTTTCGTTTCTCTTCTCTTTCTCCACATTTTGTCTTCCTCTTCCCCCACCTCTTCTTCCTCCTTCTCTCCTTCCTCCTTCTTCTCCTCTTCCTTCTCCTCCTCGCCTTCCTCCTCCTCCTTCTCCTCCTCCTCTTCCTCCTCCTCCTCTTCATCCTTCTCATTCTCCTTCTCCCATCCTCCACCTCCTCTCTCCCTTTTACCTCTCTCCTCTTTCCCTCTCTCCCTCTCTCTTCCTTCCCTTTCTCCCCTTTCCCTCTCTCCTCCTTCCCTCTCTCCCTCTCTCCTCTTTCCCTTTTCCCTCTCTTCCTCCTTCCCTCTCTCCCCTTTCCCTCTCTCCTCCTTCCCTTTTTTCCTCTCTCCCTCTCTCCTCCTTCCCTCTCTCCCTTTTCCCTCTCTCCTCTTTCCCTCTCTCCCCTTTCCCTCTCTCCTCCTTCCCTCTCTCCTCCTTCCCTCTCTCCTCCTTCCCTCTCTCCTCCTTCCCTCTCTCCTCTCTCACTCTCTCCTCTTTCCCTCTCTCCCCCTTTTCCTCTCTCCCCTTTCCCTCTCTCCTCCTTCCCTTTTTTTCCTCTTTCCCTTTTTTCCTCTTTCCCTCTCTCCTCCTTCCCTCCCTCCCTTTTCCCTCTCTCCTCCTTCCCTCTCTCCTCTTTCCCTCTCTCCCCTATCCCTTCTCTCCCTCTCTCTTTTTTCCCTCTTTCTCTCTCTCCTCTCTCCCTCCTTCCCTCTCTCCCCCTTTCTCTCTCTCCCTCCCTCCTCTTTCCCTCTCTTCTTCTTCCCTCTCTCCTCCTTCCCTCTCTCTCCTCTCTCCCTCTCTCCTCTACCCCATTTTCATTCGTCATCCACCTCTTCCTTGTTCCCTCTCTCCTCCTTCCGTCTCTCCTCTCTCCCTCTCTCCTCTCTCCTCCTTCCCTCTCTCCCCTTTCCCTCTCTCCTCCTTCCCTCTCTCCCCTTTCCCTCTCTCCCCTTTCCCTCTCTCCCCTTTCCCTCTCTCCTCCTTCCCTCTCTCCTCTCTCACTCTCTCCTCCTTCCCTCTCTCCTCTTTCCCTCTCTCCCCTATCCCTATCCCTTCTCTCCCTCTCTCTTTTTTCCCTCTTTCTCTCTCTCCTCTCTCCCTCCTTCCCTCTCTCCCCTTTCCCTCTCTCCCTCCCTCCTCTTTCCCTCTCTTCTTCTTCCCTCTCTCCTCCTTCCCTCTCTCTCCTCTTTCACTCTCTCCTCTACCCCATTTTCATTCGTCATCCACCTCTTCCTTGTTCCCTCTCTCCTCCTTCTCTCTCCCCTTTCCACCCCTCCTCTTTCCCTCTCTCCTCCTCTCCTCTCTCCCTCTCTCCTCCTTCCCTCTCTTCTTTCCCTCTCTCCTCCTTCCCTCTCTCCCCTTTCCCTTCTCTCCCTCTCTCTTCTTTCCCTCTTTCCCTCTCTCCCTCCTTCCCTCTCTCCCTCCTTCCCTCTCTCCTCTCTCCCTCTCTCCTCTCTCCTCCTTCCCTCTCTCCCCTTTCCCTCTCTCCTCTCTCCCTCTCTCCTCTCTCCTCCTTCCCTCTCTCCC